GCAGTAATGAATAACTAACCACCCATTAGTGCAACTACTAGCCAAGTTAGTTAATTGATTTCTTACCCATTAGTGGACCTGTTGAAAATTTTCTTCAAGGTTGATAATTTTTGACATAGTTGAACATGAAGACGTAAAACATGATTAAGGGTTTGGATTGAGGATCTTTGTGCTGGTGTCATGAATGCTAACCTATTTCCAAAACATATCGTGTTTGGATTTTCAATATCAACTAATTATACCTACAAATACGAGCATGATTCAAATATAACTATCGAATTCGCTAAACATTTATTTTTATTATGTGTTGATTTTTATGTATATTTCCTCACTATATATTCTATGTAACTCATCTATTTGTACACTATGACTAACTATTACTTGTTTACTATAAGAGTACATGATTGCTATAGGAGTACATGATTGTGTCTTGTCACTTATGTGCTAAAAGGGTAATATTGAAGTTGGAGTTTTTTGTCACGATTGATTAAGTATGTTGTGTTCGGACTCGCTCAACTGACGTGATTGCTATCCTTATTTCTTCAATAAATGTCAAGTATTAAAGATTTGAGGTGATAATTAGTTAGGTACTGCATTGGTTCTCATAATATTTTGGTCCCAATACTACGTAAGACCACATGTAAACATGTGACATGCTGAGGTACTATTCCTTTCATATTTTGGGGCCTTATTTTCCTGCAGTGTTGTCAGCCAGTCCCTGTTTTGGTCATTGCCTAACGGTCTCTCCTAACACTAGGCCACAATCATTCACAGCTTAGCTTCAATAAAGTCTCTCTCCGCTATGTTATGCAGAGTAGTCCTCGTAGTTTTTCGTTTTTTTTAGCTTAATTGTCTAAGGTATTTGGATTAATCTTTTTTCTTATGTAGTCAAAAACAAGTCATCCACACAGAGATTAGAGTATTCATCAGGGATAAATTTTTCATAGTTTGGTCCCAAAGAATTATTGAGATTCAAATTGAAGAGACGTCTGAATTTACAGTTCGTCTCTGTTACCATTTGAGCTACTTATTAGAGTTATTTCTCTTCTGGTAACAAGACATAATTCAAATCTCTTTTAATTACAAAACCTTTTGTGAGAAGTGTAATTAGAGATATTTTTCTAAATTCACCCTTTAAATTCAAATAGTATTCTGGTGATACGGAAACTTGAACCATGAAGACACACCTAAAAAAAAAAAAAAGTCATCAAAATGGCTTAAGCCCTAGAAGACTTGGCATGAACCATTAAAATATTCAATTTTGTCATGAGATGATGTTGGTTGCAGCCTCTCTCTCTGTCTATGTCTCTGTCTCTGTCTCTTACACACACACACACACACACATGTTAGCTTGATTCCATCTGGCAATGAGCCAAGACAACTAAGCCTCATAACTGTCTTAAGCAATGATATGGCAGGTGAGATTACTATAAATCAGCTGATTCAACTGATAGAAATGGATTATATATAAGAATGCCATGGTCATGGGGAATGCTGCCAATCAAAAAAAAAAAAATGGGTTTGGCTCCCCCTAAACTCCAAATAATTGGAAGACACACTCTATTACTTTTGAATGGTGACGATTTGCCACAAATGTTATCTTATTTAACCCGTATATTGATTTAAAAAGATTATTTAAAACGCATATTGATTTTTAAAATTCAAAATAAACTGAAAATTTTAATTTCAGCATCCACCGTTCGAAAATAATTAGAGGATCTTTCGATTAATTTGTAATCCGCGGGAGGGACCATTTAAAAATAGTCCTTTCCCCCTTGCTTTATACCAACCAGACAAGTTGCATTAATCAAGGGAAGACATGAGCCAGCTCAATTTCTTTGGCATGAATGCAACAATAGGAGACATTTGGGATATTAAATTAGGGTCCTTTTCTCTTTTATTATTTAATAAATTAGAGATGACTTTCCTACAAGTCTCCAACCATAAATCTTATGCATTTAATAGGGATCTTCAAAACCCAAAATTAAAGTTCTCAGATGGCCCAATGAGTTGGCCATTTTGTATGTATAATAATAATATTCTACAATGATATACATAGAATAGAGAGTGGTCTTGTATGCATTAGGGCCATCCGATCTTTTGGATTCTTTCTTGACTGCTTATTAATCAAATGGTCCAAAAGTCATCATAACTTCATAGCATTTTGTCACATGCCAAGTTGACAAGGTATAGAATCCCATACCTGGGGACCAACCAAGTAAAAAACAAAAATGCAACCTAGGATTGAGAGAGAGAGAGGTCACATAAATTTAATAATTTTCAAAATAATACTAGTATTTGTATTTAATACGGAGACCTAATGCATTATAATCATAGGATTACACTTTTCAAAACTTCGGTTTTATTCCAAATCGAGGTTTTTTTTTTTTAGCTCTATTGATTTTCCAAATAATAGTACTGATTACTTCTTAAACAGTTTCTTTGCATCCGAGTATAAGGCTATACACACACGACTCTCTCATTGTTCTGTAAGGACGGTATTTTCGTGCAACAATTTTTTTTTATATATATTGATTGGTGCTTGGAGTGAATGCATGAAATTTGTTGTAGCATCACCAAAAGAAAAAGTATAAAAAAGTAAAATAAGTTGTTGCATATAACAAAGTGTTATATTCATGGATTATATATAGCACACACATACCAATAATTTCAGTAAACTATGTACATGTTCCTCATTGGACGGGTACTTTAGAATGTTTAGTTTGTCATCTAGCAAGGTGTGAGGAGACATTGCCTAGATGTTATCTAAAAGCATGCTTAGGAGGAGGACAAAGCACAAAGTTGCACAATCTTACTCTAATATTTATATGAAAAGACTAAGATTAGGATATTCATTACTTTTAATGAAGAAGCATATGAACCATTAAATAATTGGGGGAAAAAAATACTCTGAGGATCGTGGGTATTTTAGACATTCTACTTATTTTTTTGTAAATTAGTTACTTATCAATTGCATAATTATTTTAATAACCAATATAATGACAACAGCTGTGCAGGTGACTACGATTCTTATAGCACATAGTTCAAGATTAATGTTATCGATCATGATAATAAAGAATTACATGCTGTATCACCATTAATGTGCCACGGTGTGTCTGCATAGAAAGGTATGTTAGTAGCGAGAGAAGCGATTAGGGGATTTAAAATTTGCTTTTAGAAGTAATTGTGGATGGGATCACATTCTTCAAAGCAAGCTTTGATTCCTTAAACAAAAGCCTAAAAAATAACAAAAATGGAAGAGAGAAACGAGAGCTCCCTCCCAAGCCAAATGCTTCATGGGGACCATGAAACCACAAGAGCATGAGAAGATCCCAAAAAGTAAAACAAAAAGAAGGTTGCCTCTCTCTCTCTCTCTCTCTCTCTCTATATATATATATATATATATAAGTATCTATACTTACTTCTTAGTAAATTACAACTCAAAGCCCTAAACCCCATAAATAAGAAAAAATATAAAAATGGATTTGCATGCTGGGTTACAGTTAGCTTTGCTTTAAAAGAACATTTCACGTGTCTTGGGCGCCGCATTTGTTCTTTGCTTTAATGTTGTAGTAACACAATGGAAACTTATCTTGGATGAACGTTGTTCTTGATGAAGGCCACCCAATGTACTTTTCAAATAAAGGTCACAAGAGGGTACTTTCTTAGAGGTTTCCTTGGGCATCCCAAATCCAAACTCTTGGAAAATCATTTCCAAGATGTTAGAGTATGTGTGACTCATATTTACTGTGTACATAATGGCAAGGAGGCAGATGTCGGAGCGTAGTGGAGTTCGCGACGGCATCTGCCTTGTGGGATTTATATATAGGGGACGCTGATTAGTTGGGGGTGCGGGGGCAACGCCCCCGCGGTACGGTACAGGGATATTTTTGTAAATACGTCCATATTAGGGTTATATAAATATTTAAGATGTAACCCTACTTCAATAATGGAAAAGAACGGCCGCTCGCTCTCGTGGATGTAGGCACATTGCCGAACCACGTAAATCTCTGTGTGTTATTTTCTCCTGCTTTCTTAATTGTTTGATTCCTTACTATTCACCATAATTGTTGCACGATCACAACACAAGAGAATAGACACACACACACACACACAATGTGTTCCATTAAACAAGTTTATAATTTGGGAAAACATTGTCATTTTGAATGTTTTCATGATGTTTGTTAATGTAAACATTGTCTTCTCTCTCTCTCTCTCTCTCTCTCTCTCTTTTTTAAAATTTTGTGCCCCTTAGCTATTATCACTTTGATAACTGGTTAGACACTAGGGTTCAAATCCTATCACCACTATTTTCAATTTGCTTTCTTATATGTTTTCAGCATTTAGTTAGGATTATGAGACTTAGGATTAGGATTATGTGCAATTTGTTTTCTTTTTCTTCTCCAAATTTAGAATTAGGCTCATGGGAAAAAATGATTCCCAAAGTAACACTAATGTAATTTGAAATAGGGCCCCAATTTTATCAAACTTGAAAGAGAACAACATTGCAATGGTAACTCATTTTAGTAAATGAACTCTTCATTAATTGTTGGACAACTCTAATTCATGCACGTATGTGCGCACAGAGATAGAGAAACATACACACACGCATTTGCACACACATACACCTATACAATGAGAGAGAGAGAGAGAGAGAGAGATGTTCACCCATATAATACAAGCCACCATTGCACCGTGATGAAGGTATAATATTTGAAAACTTTGTTAGATATTGTGCACATATACAATACATACAATATAAGATAGATTAGCCACCAACTTAATCCCAATACTTCCACAAGGTCACATGCCCAAAATCCAGACACTCCTGGAAAAGACAAGATGACAAGGTATGACAACTTAGGGGGTCAGTCAAGATGAAAAATAGTACTGGTTCCTATAATATAATTTGATGATTGAAACAATGGGTACTTTGGTCATTTAAAACATATACATGCACTCACACACAAAGGGTTCGTATATGAATTTATGGTAGCAATTTAGGGCCGTTGATCTTCGCTATCAAGGGGATCATGCAAACGTCGAAAGATGATTGGTGCACCATGTTGAGGGTAGAGAAGCATCAGGACCGTTGGCGCATGTTGATAATGTGGGGCCAAGCGGAGAGAGAACCGTTGAAGTATGATGGCAATGGTTAATTTTGCCTGCAGTGTCGCTAGATTTTGACCAATGCATTGGCGGACCCCCAGGCCAAAGGGAATGAACGCCATTGGATGCTTTGCTGCGCGGGCCACCCCTTTCGAGAATCGAGCGGGGTTGAACTCATTAACATCATTCCCCCATAGGGCCTGATCATGATGAACGGCCAAGATTGGTATCAAAAGTTCGGTCCCACGAGGGATCTTACACCCTCCAAGCTCTACATCAGCTTTCGTCCGTCTGATCGTTGCAACGGTCGGTGGATATAGTCGCAAGGACTCATTGAGAATCATGCTCAGCTGCACAGCAGATCACACAGCACACGAATTAGTTTTTCAAGTGACTAATTTACCCCTACTATTACAAATGTATTTTAATTTTTAAAATTTTCCGAACTAAAGTGAGATTTAGCATGTAGTTAAGGGACTACCGGCAAATGCAATGTTTTTCCCAAAAATAACGTAGAATTTTCAGGGGTGTTTTAGTAATTTAGTAAAAACGATTTTTGCTCCCTATCTTAAAATTTAAAAAAATGATGAGGGGCATACCGTCTTAAGCTTGACAATATCATCTTTGGTGGGTATGTCACGTGACCCACATACCCTGAGCACCTCCTCACGTGCCAGGACCTGCCACTCTGGGTGCATTGCTAGCAAAACGGTGGTCCACGTCAGCAAATTCGACGTGGTTTGGTCGCCGGCGAAGAAGAAGGTCTTGCACTCTTCGGCAATGTCTTTGACTGTGATCATGGAGGATGTAGAGGAATTGAATTCCGTCCTCCTAAAGGATTCTTCCCGCGTGCTTGCTTGGATCATGAGGCCAAGCAAATTCTTTGGACCATTTTCCACGATTTCATTTCCCCAATTCTCTCTCCTTTGATCTATCACTTTCATTAGAGATTTCTTGATTTCCTTCTCCAATTTCCATGATTTCATATTCCTTTTCGTGGGTAGAAATCTACGAGAAAAGAAAAGTGCATATTAGATTAGTAAGAGTAGAATAATAATATTCTGCACGGGTAACTATGATTATGTATTTTTGCCAATGGCAATGACAAAAATTATTTGACTTTACCTGATAAATTATGTGATTTTGTTTCACTTTGTCACATCATGTGGACATTTTCCGCATAAAAGATAATGGACGTTGCATTCGGCGTAAAACTAATTTAAATAACTAAAATGGGTAATGCGAGAAATTTAATAATTCAAGAGCTGAAGTGAGATTCAAATCATAGTTGAAGGGGGTGAAATATAAATTTTCTTGGAAGAAATAGTACCTATAACCAGGGATGAAAACTTTTTGGAAGGTCTCCGATGCAAGCACCGTTTGTTGAGCTTGTAGCTGGAAAATTGACTTTCCATCTTCATAACTCCGGCCAAAGGTCGTTCGGGTAACCATCTGTTCCGTCAAGATTCGAAACCATTCTGAGACTTCGATTTCGACTTCGCCGATATTCGACATGGCAAACCTTTTTTCCAGCATCTCAATAACACTATGCGCAGCCACCGGAATTAACAGCTGCAAACAAATTAAATAAAGATTATAGCTTTAAATCACTCATAAGTTTAAAGTACTAAATTAGCTGGCCTTAAGACCGGCATTGAACTTTATTATAATTATTTTTTTGTAAATAGAAACTTACTTTGAGATTTTCGACATGGAAAGTAGGAGTGATAATTTTCCTATGATGAGCCCATTTTTCTCCTTTGAGGCTAAGCAGTCCATCACCTTCAAGCTGTTTGATAAGAGGATGAGCCTCATACTTCTCATAGAATTCAGACTTGGAAGTGAAGATTTCTCGAATGAGGTCTGGATCGGAGACAGTGAGGCGAACCGTCGTCCCAAACCACACCAGAAATGTTGAACCTGTGATGAAGCACAATTGTAATGTTAATAGAAAAGATTATGAAATTAAAGGGTGATAAGTTATAAATCTGATAATTTTTTTTTTTTTAGAGGGGGGGGGGGGTGGAGTTTATACCAAAAAGGTAATAGCATATGGCTTCAAGTAGTAAATGTTAAGTTAGCAAAGAAAGGAATGAGAAGGAAACAAGGCAGCCAGTGGATTCAGAGAGCATGGATAGTGTACCCTAGAATGGGGCAGAGAGACAGAGAGAGAGAGAAGGAAGAAGACAACTCAGAACTAGACAACTGCCAAACACATACAAGTTCATTATCAAAATTCAATCTCCCACTAAAATCTGGAACAATCCATAAGGACACAAGGAACACCAATGAAAACTCCATGACTATGAACTTCAAAAACCCAAAAATCATGACATAGAGTACTAACAAAATGACAGAAAAAAGTAAAAAAAAAAAAAACTACTAAAATTATTGAAGAAGAAAATAAAATAATTCCCATGATAGAAGGGCCACACTAAAGCAAAATTTCCAGTTATACTCATTGTTTAAGCTTTAGAGGGAAAAGGTGAAATTGGAATGAGAGTGTAAGAAGAAAAAGAAGAGAGAAGTGAAAAATAAAGAGTGGAGTAGTCTAAACTCTGAAGCTCAATATCAAGAATTCAATTCCCAGATGAGAAAAAGGCCTAAAGAGCTTTTAAACGAAGTACATACATTAACTTAAACACAAGCCTTTGAGAAGTCATGAATATTAAAAGTAGTAAACAACCAAGCTAAAGAAACAACATTAACACTCATGGATAGCTACAATGTCAAGGATCAATATTTCTCATGAAACAAAGAACAGAGAAAAAATTTCAAAACAAAAGTAAGAAAAATTTAATATTGCTTAAATTGTGTCAAATAGTCAAAGAAATGAGACTATGAGAGAGGAGAGGGAGAGAGAGAGAGAGAGTTACCGTAAATTTTCCTCCAGTGGTGGTAGAAGGAGAGGACTCTAGGGAGGATGTTGTGAGAGTAAGACATGGGTTGAGAAGAGGCCTTCAACATAAGACTCACAAGTTCCTTGGCGTTGCCTATGAAGAAGCGATAAGGGGGTCCTCTAATACCTTGCTTAGAGAAGTGTTCTTCAATCTTTCGAGGTCTCCACCAAAACAAAACCATAACCTTCATAACAAACACCAACACTATGGAAGAGATGACAAGAAGCTTAAACCAGTACAAGACCTCTTCTTCCATGGTTGCTGAGCTTTTGCTCACAACACAGCCTTTTTCTTGAGCTAGTTTTAAGCAGCTTTCTTATCTTCTTTGGTTTTTTTTGTTGCTTGTTAGTGTGTCCTCCTTTTATTGCCAACAAGAAGTGGAGGAAAACTTGGGAGGGGGGGGGGGGGGGGGGGCGAGAGAGAGACTATTTGGCAAGGCCAACGGCGTAGGGGCCGCCATGGGAATTATAAGGGTCAACGAATGAGGAATTCTTTAGTCTTTTAATCATCTGAGACAATGATGCCCTTGTCTTTTCTAAGTAGTATCTTTATGTCCCTTGAATCTATTTTGTCTTTAGTCTCTCTGATAAGAATATGTAGTTCTCTTGGGTTTGTATATCATCTTGCCTTAAAGCACAAAAAAGGAAGAAATTCGAAGTCCTCCCCTCTCTAATGACCGTTTCTCAACGCGGGAAAATAAAGCGGCACACATTTGATCCTCTTCGACTTCTACAATAACATATATTTTGTGCACTGGACTATACTTTTTTCAATGGCGACCGAACACAAGAATAGCTCAAGTGGCTTCCTTTATTTTAAGTCTTGTTGATTGATTGTAAATTCATGTATATTTATATATTCATGCTAATGCTAATTAATGTATAAATATGTAATTTCTTAAACTTTAAAGACTAACAATTCTTCGTTCTTATAATTTTTTTAAAAGGAAAAAAAAAGAAGAAAATGATGTTAGAACCCGTACCGAGTTGCCGGCAGGAGTGAGCCCTTACTAGTGGGACTAACAATTCATACATTAATCTTTTGCATGATAATCTTTTACATAAGCTTTAAGGATATTTCCGTCATTTAAATCAAATTTGAGGAATGAATGGAGAATAACAGACAGGCATGAGGTGTATTTTTGCATATAATTTATTGGGAATGATCAACTTACTATTCCTATGGCATGTCATGCATGATAAAGATGTTCGGACATGGTATGATGTCGCATCAAGATAACTAGGTTGTTTTACATGCTCATTAACTTGTTACCATCTTTTGACCCAGATAAACTTGTTACTTGGCATGCAGACAAACTTGTTACATGTTGAAATTAGTACGATATGGATTGAACAAAAAGTTACGAGGCAGCTGTTAAAAAGATAGCCAAATATACGAGATTTTGTTGATCGTATTCTCTACTTACAGTAAGTTAAATGCACTTCTCGCTTCTATATAAAAAGCGTATATTTGTGCAATTTAGATACGTGATGTATATAAAGTAACCCCATCTCAGTGCGAAGACTTGCTCTATTTATAAGATAGATATTGTTAACAAAATCAAGTATTTTTAACCATTACCCTCTGAGTTGGTTTCTAGAAAAAAAAAAAAAAAATTCCTGTAGTGCTTATCCCTAGTCTATTTAAAACTTGGAATTCCAAATCACATCAAGCCCCCCAAAAAAAAAAATTAAAAAAAAAATAAAAAAAGAATAGAAAATAAAAGAGAGATGATGTATTGAACCATGCTTAAGCACATTAGCTGCATGATATATAGACAATAACAAGTGAGAATTGGCTAGGTCAACTCAACAAGATTATCACAAGTGGCAGAAGATAACCCATTTTATTCAATTATTAAAAATAAGCAACAGAAAACTTGTGGACGTGTACTTATTATATGTTCATCTAGCTTGCAATGGCAGAACTTTAGGGGGAAAAACTTGCAGTGACATATACAATGCTCACCAAAATAATATAGTGAAATGTCAACTAATTAAGGAAAATTATTATATGCTAATGTTGTGGTGGTCCAAATTCAAAAATCAAGTCCTTTGGGACTTGGGATCAAGATGAATGAGCTGAGGTGAAGGTATCAAAGCCCATATACTTTGTGTGTAGTGGCTTAGTGAAGTGCATTTAAAGTTCATTAGAAGATAACCTAAGAGCTAGTTTAATTGGTAACAGAGACGAGTTGTAAATTTTGGCGTCTTGAGTTCTAATCTTGTTGATTCTTTGGCGCTAGGCCAAGAGTAAAGTTTATCCCTCATAAATATCTTAATCCAGTGTGGATGGTCTGATTTTGATTGGATTAGGAATGAATTAATCGAGGTAAAACATAAGTTGATCCGGACACCCTTAATTGAAAACAAACAAATGTTTAGATACATAACACAATATAGATCAGCCAAGAAAGAGATTAAGGATTTGTGAAAAATATAACAAGTAGAGAAGATGGAAAGAGAAAGGACTTTGAAGGTTGATATTTTCCTTCATGCTCCCAAAAAGATGGTCTGGTGGGATAGAGAAAGAGGGGGCACAAAAGGGGTTGTTATTTTGGAACATTGCTCTTAAGTTTATGCACATGGGAACAAGGATGTCTATTTAGGGGTCTATTTCTGTGCTTTTGGTGGGGACATATGTCTTGGTTGACCCAACAGTGAGACGCCCACCCAAAGCCAACTTCTCCTAATCTTGTCCCAATAGTCCCAAGACATGTTTGGGTCCTCTGCTCTTCTGTGTCCTACTTGTTAAACAACTAACCCATCTGTTACAATTTATGATATAGGGTGACAACTCTACTTATATAGCCAGGCAACTTTACCCCATGACAAGATTGTAGAACAAAAAATGATGGATCTAAGGGGCGTGAGTGGGGCGGGAAAGTAATTCTTGGATGTCATTTAGATGCATTATTGACGACGTTACGGATTGGTATCGAGCGATATAGATGAAATTCTAGATCCAATAAGAAATTAACTACAAAAAAAGATTCAAGCCATATCGTGGATTGCAAAATGATAAATTTACTCGGAGATATCTGGGATAATCTAGCCAAGTTGGGTGAGACTCATGGTTTGCGTGGAAAATGGATCCATGTTAGATGGGTGGAAAATCTGTTCTTTGGTTTTCCTAAGAGGGACAGAAAAATATCGGCTCTTATCTTTTGCAAGGATTTAATCCCTTTAAGAAAATTAAGAATGACCAACCAGATTAAACCGATTAAAAAGAATATAGTAGTTACAAGTTAAATAGTTAATATCATAGTCCAAGGCTGGAGCCTTGTGCCCTAACTAATAGGCCATAAAGATTAGAGAAGAATTAATTATCAGTTAGCTCAATGATTAATTAGCAGTAGACCTTTCTTAGGTGTGGCATTTATAATCCATGAATTGTGGAATATAATTAGCTAGCATTGTATATATAAAAAGTATTCCCAAGACTCCAACTCACAAAGTTAAATGCTTTCAATCATTTGTAATCTTTGGCCTAGAAAGTTAGAAATAAAGCCTAAAACATTAGTGTTTTAATGAATTTCATTGCTTCCATATCTCCTTTGCAGAGATTACAATTGATTCTCATGGGGTATAGACTGTAGTATTGTCATTCTCTTTCTTTTTGTAACAGGAAATCGTCCCAATCAAGTACAATAATTGTATTCATGTCAATAACTCAAACTTTGATTGTACATGATGACCCGCAAAATAATTGTATTGGTCAATATGATGTTTCATGCAACTAGAGAATTTGAACTTAAAATGTACAAATTTACAACAATTATGTTTTAGTTCGGTCATTTAGCCTACCGGTGCAGGTTGATTGCATTATTTTCAGCAGTTCTTAATCAATGGTAGAGATGTTAGATCAACATATCAAAGATGATCCTTAAATTCACTGCTTTTTAAGCCTCTCTCTCTCTCCTGGCAGTAAGTAGTATTAAACACTACAAGTTTGCTGTTGATTGGATACTTCAAATAAGATCTGATTTGCCTCATGATGCTTGTTCACAGCTCCAGTTATTAGGTATATGTGAATGGTGTCGGATTTTAGTGCATTGGTGTCAAAAAAATATTTTACTTATACCTAATTTGTTTATTAATTTGTGTCTAACGAATTGTGTCATATCGAGTTCGTGTCGTGTATGCACTATGTAGAACTTATATATAAACTAGTTGTGTTTTATATTTCTTTTAATTGGATTTACTCATACCTGATTCGTTTATTAATTATATCAAACAGGTTATTTTAAAAAGATTTAAATTCTCTAATTTCGTATCGTGTCATATTTTGACACTCCAAATTTGTCCTATTGAAAAAACTGGCAAATTAATTTAAAAAATATTTAAATTTTGCTCCACAAAAATTTCTCTGCCATATCAAAAGGACAAGGGGACAAAGGACAATATGCAATCTCTTAAACAAGCTGTGGAGTTTTCAAATATGGCCAAAACAATTCCAACCAACAAAGGCTGCTGATGATCAAGCCCACCTTTATTCTGCCAACCAGGTACTGATTTGGAGGAAAAGGGCAGATACTTTGTCATTTTGTTACGGGTAATTCTATATTTATCAAACTTTTTTATTAAATTTTTATCTTAAATAATGTGACACAAGTTTTTTTCCATTACATAAATGAGTCTCGTTAATATTTAATGATAAAAATTGTGCCATATCATTTAAGATAAAAAATTTAATAAAAAAATTTGATAAACACAACATTTACTTATTTTTAGATATAGGGTGGCTGCTGAATGATCCATGTACGGTTTTGAAAATTCTCTCTCATTGTTCACGGATCAAACATGTCTAGTATATTTTATTATTCTATTTTATTTTACTATTTTTTTGATTAACGATTATATTTAAATGAAGGAAAAATTATGATGCTTAAAATTTTTGATACAATAATGAAGGAGTATCATTAGACCAGCCAATCGTATCGAATGAACTGAGTTCATGTTGAGTTTTAATGGGTTCGTGTCAAAAAATATTTTATTTATATCCGATTCGTTTATTAATTCGTATTTAACGAGTTATGTTATATTGGATTCATGTCATGCTTGAATCGTATATAACCTATATATAAACTTGTCTTGTCGTGTTTAGTCTATTCATTTATGAAACGTGCGACTTGAAAAAAACAAAAATTATCTAATTTCGTATTGTGTTTGTATTATGTTAACGAGTTGTGTCATTTCTAAGTATGATAAGGGTTATCCGCTACCGAATGAACATGAGTTAGTTAGGTTCTTCTTT